TTTCAGATTCTTTTAATAAGGAAGGGGGATTGGTCCTTGGGAGGGGAAGATGTCTGCTGTATTGGATGCCATCATCATGTCCCTGTTATTGTCCTTCCTGTCCTCTTTACTCCAAACGCTTTTTGAACCATCCTGCTCCCCACCCCTTGTCTCCGATTTGACATTGAAACTCCCAATTAGAACCCATCGTTTCTTTTTTTTTAAAGATAGTTTATTATACATACAGGTGTGGTACAACATTGATTTTCAATAATTGTGCACATTGTGTGATGGTTAGATCAGGTTAGTTAGCTTATTCATCATGAAAATACACAATGATTCTTTGTGTCCATTAATCACAAGGGAGGCCTTGTTAGCCTCCCCTGCTTCCCCTCCCCTTTTCCACCTCTAGTAACCACGGTTCTTTTCTCTCTAAAAGTTCAGTGTATTACTGTGATGGTTGTTCCTTTTTCTATCTCTCTGTCTCTCTATTTTTTATTTGTTTATTTATGGATTCCTCCCAGTCATGAGTGAGAACACGTGGTATTTCTCTTTCTGTACCTGGGTTGTTTCACTTAGAATAATTTTCTCCAGGATCATCCACATTGCTGCAAATGGCAGAATTTCATTGTCTTTTATGGCTGAGTAGTATTGCATTGTGTATATGTACCACAATTTCCTTATCCAGTCATCCACCAATGGACATTTAGGTTGGTTCCATCGCCTAGCTGTTGTAAATAGAGCTGCAGTAAACATGGGAGTGCAGGTATCCCTTCAACCTGATGATTTCCAATCCTCTGGATATATCCACAGTTGTGAGATTGCTGGATTCTATGGCCACTCTATCTGTAGTTTGAGGAACGGCCATACTGTTCTCCATAAGCGCTGCACTAATTTACATGCCCACCAACAGTGCAGGAGGGTTCCTCTTTCTCCACATCCTCATCAGCATTTGTTATTCTCTGTCTTTTTTATAATAGCCAGTCTGACTGGGGTGAGGTGGTATCTCAAAGTGGTTTGGATTTGCATTTCCCTGACGATTAGTGATGCTGAGCATTTTTTCTTATACCTGTTGGCCATTTGTATGTCTTCCTTTGAGTAATGTCTATTCAACTCCTTTGCCCATTTTTTTAGTTGGTAGAATCCATCATTTCTTAACCCTAATAAGAATTTTCATTTTGGATAAAAATCTAGCTACAAGTGGGTATCTGTGAAACTTCTAGTTAGTGTAGGAAAATATATTTTCCCTTGATTAAAATATTTTAAGTCAGATCATGCTGACCCAGTATGGAAAATTTGTTTCTGTGTTTAAATGGCGCCCTCCAAAGTAACATCACATAGCACTTCTGTGTGGAAATATCCGGTCAATAGTAGAGAAATTAATCTTTGATCCTTTAATAGAATGAAGTTCATTGTCTCATTCACAGCACTAAAGTATTGAGTCACAGATCCTGATGTTAGTGTTGTCAGGGTTTCCATGGAACATTCGCAAGCGAGGTTGGAGTCTCCTGGACTTTAAGTCTTAAAGATGGCTTCCTGCAGTTCTCTCTTGTTCCCACGTGGGCCTGTAATGGGAGAGTGCTGCTCATAGCCTGGCTTTATAGAATCCAGGACATCCTTCCAGCTGAAACAAGTAGCTTCAAAAGGGAACACGAAACAGTGAAAAGATAGTAAAAGGTCAGTGAAACCACAGACTTTTCTTCTAATCCAGCTGAAGCCATGGAGAAGCACGAGACGATGGTTTAATCTGGGCCAAGGTCCCCTGGGAGTTGTGTCCTTCCCAGTGCGTAGCATAGAGATGTCTGTGAGTTCATGGGAAACAGAGTTACTTGACTGACGTAGCCCCATCTTATTTTCCTCTGCAAGCTGAGCCTCTCATTTGTTGTGGGGTTCAGGCTCTCCTCAACAGAAGGCCAGGTCAGGCGGGCAGGTTGAGGTCGAGGATGGGGAGTCTGCAATGGGCACTGCCACAGCGAGCTGCCTTCCTCCCCTGGAGCCTCTACTCCGCCATGTGGTCGGTCCTCTTGTGCACTGGCGGGGGCTCAGACCGACTCCGTGGGGAACTTACGGCTGCACGCTGCCCCTCATCCTCATGAGAGTGCGCGGGTGGAGAGTCTGAGGGTACCTGCTGTGTCCAAACACACAGCTTCAATCCATTTTACCTGGTGCAGAACGGGGATGTGGAGGGGAAATAAACGTCTTTTGGGAATAATGTTTGGTTTTTTCCCCTTCTTTTCCAGAGTCAAAGGCTTTAGACATTTGCAGAAGTTGCTGGATTGTTTCTGAATCAGTTTTTAATGTAAAAAACCATAAACGCATAGTGGAAAAGNTTTCAGATTCTTTTAATAAGGAAGGGGGATTGGTCCTTGGGAGGGGAAGATGTCTGCTGTATTGGATGCCATCATCATGTCCCTGTTATTGTCCTTCCTGTCCTCTTTACTCCAAACGCTTTTTGAACCATCCTGCTCCCCACCCCTTGTCTCCGATTTGACATTGAAACTCCCAATTAGAACCCATCGTTTCTTTTTTTTTAAAGATAGTTTATTATACATACAGGTGTGGTACAACATTGATTTTCAATAATTGTGCACATTGTGTGATGGTTAGATCAGGTTAGTTAGCTTATTCATCATGAAAATACACAATGATTCTTTGTGTCCATTAATCACAAGGGAGGCCTTGTTAGCCTCCCCTGCTTCCCCTCCCCTTTTCCACCTCTAGTAACCACGGTTCTTTTCTCTCTAAAAGTTCAGTGTATTACTGTGATGGTTGTTCCTTTTTCTATCTCTCTGTCTCTCTATTTTTTATTTGTTTATTTATGGATTCCTCCCAGTCATGAGTGAGAACACGTGGTATTTCTCTTTCTAGTAACCACGGTTCTTTTCTCTCTTTCTAAAAGTTCAGTGTACTACTGTGATGTTTGTTTCTTTTTCTCTCTGTCTCTATTTTTTATTTGTTTATTTATGGATTCCTCCCAGTCATGAGTGAGAACACATGGTATTTCTTTTTGTACCTGGGTTGTTTCACTTGGAAAAATTTTCTCCAGGATCATCCACATTGCTGCAAATGGCAGAATTTCATTCTCTTTTATGGTTGAGTAGTATTGCATTGTGTATATGTACCACAATTTCCTTATCCAGTCATCCACCAATGGACATTTAGGTTGGTTCCATCGCCTACCTGTTGTAAATAGAGCTGCAGTAAACATGGGAGTGCAGGTATCCCTTCAACCTGATGATTTCTAATCCTCTGGATATATCCACAGTTGTGAGATTGCTGGATTCTATGGCCATTCTATCTGTAGTTTGAGGAACGGCCATACTGTTCTCCATAAGCGCTGCACTAATTTACATGCCCACCAACAGTGCAGGAGGGTTCCTCTTTCTCCACATCCTCATCAGCATTTGTTATTCTCTGTCTTTTTTATAATAGCCAGTCTGACTGGGGTGAGGTGGTATCTCAAAGTGGTTTGGATTTGCATTTCCCTGACGATTAGTGATGCTGAGCATTTTTTCTTATACCTGTTGGCCATTTGTATGTCTTCCTTTGAGTAATGTCTATTCAACTCCTTTGCCCATTTTTTTAGTTGGTAGAATCCATCATTTCTTAACCCTAATAAGAATTTTCATTTTGGATAAAAATCTAGCTACAAGTGGGTTTCTGTGAAACTTCTAGTTAATGTAGGAAAATATGTTTTCCCTTGATTAAAATATTTAAGTCAGATCATGCTGACATGCTATGGAAAATTTGTTTCTGTGTTTAATTGGCCCCCTCCAAAGTAACATCACATAGCACTTCTGTGTGGAAATATCCGCTCAATAGTAGGGAATTTAATCTTTGGTCCTTTAATAGAATGAAATTCATTGTCTCATTCACAGCACCTAAGTGTTGAGTAGCAGATCCTGATGTTAGTGTTCTTGGGGTTTCCACGGAACATTCGCAAGTGAGGTTGGAGTCTCCTGGACTTTAAGTCTTAAAGATGGCTTCCTGCAGTTCTCTCTTGTTCCCACGTGGGGCTGTAATGGGAGAGTGCTGCTCATAGCCTGGCTTTATAGAATCCAGGACATCCTTCCAGCCAAAACAAGTAGCTTCAAAAGGGAACACGAAACAGTGAAAAGATAGCCAAAGGTCAGTGAAACCACAGACTTTTCTTCTAATCCAGCTGAAGCCATGGAGAAGCACGAGACGATGGTTTAATCTGGGCCAAGGTCCCCTGGGAGTTGTGTCCTTCCCAGTGCGTAGCATAGAGATGTCTGTGAGTTCATGGGAAACAGAGTTACTTGACTGACGTAGCCCCATCTTATTTTCCTCTGCAAGCTGAGCCTCTCATTTGTTGTGGGGTTCAGGCTCTCCTCAACAGAAGGCCAGGTCAGGCGGGCAGGTTGAGGTCGAGGATGGGGAGTCTGCAGTGGGCACTGCCACAGCGAGCTGCCTTCCTCCCCTGGAGCCTCTACTCCGCCATGTGGTCAAACCTCTTGTGCACTGGCGGGGGCTCAGACCGACTCCGTGGGGAACTTACGGCTGCACGCTGCCCCTCATCCTCATGAGAGTGCGCGGGTGGAGAGTCTGAGGGTACCTGCTGTGTCCAAACACACAGCTTCAATCCATTTTACCTGGTGCAGAACGGGGATGTGGAGGGGAAATAAACGTCTTTTGGGAATAATGTTTGGTTTTTTCCCCTTCTTTTCCAGAGTCAAAGGCTTTAGACATTTGCAGAAGAACGTCTTTCGGGAATAACGTTTGTTTTTCTTTTCCCCTTCTTTTCCAGAACTGAAGGCTTTAGACATTTGCAGAACTTGCTGGATTGTTTCTGAATCAGTTTTTAATGTAAAAAACCATAAACGCATAGTGGAAAAGGTGTTCTGTAATGAGGCGCACCACCTATTTCTTACCCTCCCTCTCTATTACTAAAGAAATGTGTGGCAGGAAGACGCCAAATAAAGGGTATCCTGAAAGTGACGTGTGCATTTCTTCTAAGTGTTTTTTCAGTGCATCCCCTGGGAATGCAGATGTTTGTGTGGCTTTTAGGGAAAGGTAGATGTGCTGGAGGTCAATCAGGCAATACTCTGCACTTGCTGTTACTTAGAACCAGGCAGCCTCAAAGTTCTCGATTAGGTGCTTCCCAAAGACCTCACAAAGGAGAAGACATGGAAATAGCTATATTTTGAATCCTAATAGGTCACAGAAACGGAATCGCGGTAGGTTTACTGCCATAATAAACAAGCTT